GCAATTTCAGCCCAATACTGATAGTGACTATAATTCCCTGGAAGAAGCAAATATTGCTGAAGAGGCTGCTAATCTTAGGAACCTGATGTCAGATGAAAGCATCTGACAGTGTTCCAGAGATGAGATTAACTGTGTTATTTCTAGTCTAAAGGCCAGATCGGCACCCGGATATGATAATATCAGTAACAAATGCCTACGTAATCTTCCAGAAGACGCAATCCAATGCATCGTTATATCATCAATTGCATGCTTAGGCTTGGCGAATTTCCAAAGGCCTGGAAGATGGGCTCAGTCATAGTGTTTCCTAAACCGGATAAGAATCCTTCATTTCCGCAGAACTGGCGTCCTATCAGTCTGCTCTCAACTATGGGGAAATTGGCAGAACGAGTAATCCTGACTAGGCTTAAAACAGCGGTGAATGCTCTAAATTTACTTCCTGACGAGCAATTCGGGTTTAGGGATAATCTCTCCACGGAACTACAACTAGCCAGAACAGCGTAGCTGATACAAACCGCTCTAACTAAACGGGAGTCAACCGGGATGATTATATTTGACATAGCCAAAGCTTATGACAAGATCTGGCATGATGGTTTAATAGTCAAATTGGCCCGTTTTGGGATCCCTCGTGGTTTGATCATTGGTAGCTTCCTGCAAGAAAGGCCCTTCCGTACTAAAATTAACAGCACTCTTTCATCCGCCCGATCAATAGTAGCAGGTGTACCTCAAGGGTCGCCTTTGTCTCCCACATTGTTTAATGTATATACGGCAGACATCCCTACCTTAAGTCCCACGTCAATGGTGCTTTACGCAGACGACACGTGCTTGATCTACTCGGATCGGGTGGAATACTTCCAAAAATGGAAGATTAAAATTAATAAAGACAAAACCAAGGCTATATTTATAACTCGAAAAAGAAGACAGCATCCTCCAAGAGTGAGTGTTTGCGACACGGAGATACAGTGGGAGGATAACATAAAATATCTGGGGGTCACTTTTGACAAACGGTTCAATTGGCTTAAACATTTGAAATACAAACCGAATAGCTGCTCTAAGATTCTACATTTATTAAAGCCGCTATTTAATAATTATCACTTCAACTTTAAAAACAGAAAGTTACTTTATACGCAAGTAATTAGACCTGCCCTACTGTACGGATGTGTTACATATAGCAAAGCCTCAAATACTACCTTAAAGCAATTGCAGATAGCTCAAAACCTGGCTTTAAGAAAACTGTTTAAGATTCCATGGTATATTAGATCAACAGACATACATAGAGATCTTAGGATTGACTCAGTGAAAAAATATATCAGAGACAGAGCTCTAAAATTATTCACTAAAGTTGATACGCTAATTAACCCCGCCCTAACAATCTTTAAGTCCACTTCTGGACTCTCAGGAAGATATGCTGATTTAAGGTCCGTCATCAATTAAAAGACAAATAAATTGTATGATTTTTTTTTTTAGCCTAGTTAAAGCCTAGTGTGGGGTAGAGATAAGCCCCCCAGCCATTATAGAGTAAAAGTGCGTAATAGTACTAACTCAAGAAGAAGAAGAATCAAGAATCAAGAAGAATTATTATAATTATTAATATTACTTTATGTTGAAATAGCAAAAAAATGTGAAATGCAATATTTGTTTTTTTTTTTAAGAAATGAAATAATTTTTGAAATCATAGTTTTGTCTTTTTTGTATTAAAAAGAAACATTGACAAGTCTCTGTAATTTTCTGTCACTTTCTTTATACTTTCTTTACACTTTCACTTTTTACTACAAAAAGATAAGTAGTGCCATCATCTTCTAAGGCTAAAATGGGCAAGAAATCTGCGTTGCCACCAAATGTTGTGGACTGTTTAGTTATATTATGTACATTACTACATTTATTCAGCGACAAAACTCGAGCTTAAGCATCGAAGATCTACTTAAAAATAGGGCCGTATTTATTTTTTGATCCAATTTCGATGGAAGACAAAATAGTTCCAACAAAATAGTACAGCTGTTTGTGTCGGCTTTTTCAATTCAGATTTGATTGAGAGTGAATGATATATGTGCAAGACAGTATAATATTATACCGTTTTATGAAGAATAGAAATTTCCATGTCCGCGTCAGAGTCGAAGCTATTTCCCACCTGCTTCATCGTTGCAAGCATTTCACAGGATTCTGTCTTAGATCCCGTTTTATTTGACATTTATTTGTTTGATATTCTCACTTTCTCGCCAGCATCTTGCAACTTGCTGGTAATTGTGTCATGTTTGATATCTAAAACTATGGGCAAAATTTGTAATAAGAGGAATATTCTTCACGACTGTGTTAACTTTTGGTGCATGGCCAATGGTCAGCATCCTCCTAGCACTACCCTTAATTCTTTTGCTAGAGTGCAGTGACATGATGAATACTCTCTATAGTGACTATTTGTCTCTATCTCGCAGATATGAGACTCAATCAATATTCTGCACAAACGTTTCTTCATTGACTATTTCAAGTCTTGGCTCTTTAATTTGATGAAGCACTTCTTTATTTAATCACGAATATAGGAACCCCACAAGCTAACAAATTATTTGACTTTTTGATTTTTTTGTATTCACTCCTGATTTACCTCTTCCGGATTTTTTAAAAACTGTTTTCAAATAAATATATTATAATTGTTTCAAAATAAAAAACAAAGAATTTTTTCCTTTTTATTTTTATTATATATTTTTAAATACTTAATATTTTAATATTATTTATAAGGTATTTTATAATAAAAAGCAGTACTTGTGGTTTAATTTATTTCACTAAATGATTAAATAACAATAAAAATAACAAATATTTTCTATATATAATAATTTATAAAATTACTAGTTGGTATTTTACAGCGAAATTTATTACACTTCAAATATATATTTAGTTTTATTCGTGTTTTCTCACACGTACAATTAAATATAAATAATTAAATTTTATGCGACATTTTTTGTTAATTAACACTATTTATTTATTTATTTTTACTAACAAGTTTGTGACTAGTTTGTAACTAAAAAAAATATTTTCAAATAATAAATGTTTTCAACAATATATACTACATGTTTTGTTTTTAGAATAAAGGAAATTAAATAATATTTTCTGATATCTGTTAAGATTTTTTCAGAACAAACAATGTTGCCGATTTACTTGACATTTTTAATTTTAAAATTTTGTTTAAAATTAACCAAATCTTCCTTTCCTTTAACTACTTATTATTGTTATCTTAATCTATTTTATCTTTATACCAAAACAGTAAAGTTCAGTAGAGATCTTCAGCCTTTTTTTTTTTCAATGCTAAAGGAGGAACGGGAAGGGAACATTGAAGTTACATACGTCTGTAGTTGGCACCAAAGGCTATGCTTTATAGAGTCTTCTACGATTTTCTTAAATATGAAAAAAAGCAAATGCAGAAACTTGTAGCTATATGTTATATGTCATCCATATTTCAGGAACTAAAGAAGTTATTCAGAAACCATTTAACAAAAAAGGTTTATACACTTTTGTCTTATAGCGAGAATATATGTAATATGTAATAATTAATAAAAAAATCATTAATTTGTTTTATTTAGGTTTCAATTTTGAAGGGAGATATGTTCTAAATGATCAAAATTATTTTTTCATCAAATGAGTTAACACATTAAAATGTAGCAATCAAATTCAATTAAAAATTGTTCATTAACGTTTATTATTGGACGGAACTCAATGTTCGAACTATGATATTTTATAATTTTTCAAAAATATAGTAAATATTCTAGTTATACTATAATTTTTTCTTATTTTGGTTTAATGAAATTTATTATTTAATACGTTTATATGAAAAATATTATGTTAATAATAATTAGAAGTTCATTACAGATATCTTGCAGTGGTTGCTCTGCCGGAACATAAATATATTTTTCTGAAGATTTAAATAGACATAGTTTTTCAATAAGACAGAATTGATGTTGCTAGCAGATCATTGATGGGTTAAGATCAACTGTGCCAACACTTCAAGCAAGTGTATCTGTCTCAGGTGCAGGAGTTGAATGTTGTCTTTGCCTGAATGAAATGTGACTTCTAGTGGAATTTTTTATGACTGTTTGGGTTTTATCAGAGACAGGAAGAGAATACTGGTACAGGAGCATCTAGTATAGTCTATTCATTAAAGTTAGTTGTTAGCACAAAAGATCCACTATATTTGCAGTGCTCCGTTCCATGGAGAGCATGGAGCCCTGTTCTTTTCTCTTCTATTTTTCTATAAATAATGCTAATGAAGTTTTCTTTCTCGTTGAAGTTAATTAAATCTATTTCATGTTGTGATTTTATCGCGATATTATGACTAGAATAATGATTTATTATAGTTTTGGTATTTCAATAATATTTTCATTAAATTTTACACTAATTGCATTTTCAATACAATATAATATTTTTGCTTTTGTTTTTGCTATATAAATTATTGTAAAATATTTTGGTTTAATTTTTTTTGTAAGAAAATTTACTAAGAATTGTAAAGATTGAAAAATAGGTTAATAAATGATGGATTTTACGAATTAAGCAAGAGTTGGCGCTTAATCAATCTATAAATTTAATTTATGTTTTCTTTAATAAATTTATAACTTTTTGGTTTTAATCAACTCATAGTGTTGTCTTCTAGTATTAATTTTTTTGTAATAATATCATATTTTTCATATATTATCATATTTATCACCTTAAAAAAAGAAGAGATTCATTTCTACTTAAGATTAGTCAAAGCCAAAATTTTACGCAAAAATTTCCAATCTGCAAATTGTTTACACTGTAAGATGATTCTGTAGTGTCATAACGGACACGTTTTAGGACCTAAGTCAACCCGTCCTGCATGAGAAGTTCTATCTAACTATCTAAGCTGATTGATTGAACTGTTATCACATCGTATGCAAA